AATCTTTTTCACTCTCATAGATTTTCTTTAGGATTAAATTTCACAAATCTTAAAATTCTAGAAATTCAACAACTTTCACCTAAACATGGAAGATATGAGAACACTAAAATTTTACCTCCATCGTATAGGAAGAATGATGCATTCCAACATTCCCAGCAAAACGGTAATCTTACATTATCACAACACAAACACAAACTAACAGTGCTGTCTCATGCTGAATATGTAATAACATTTTTTTCTGTTTTAAGTGTTGCTTATGATTTTTCAGATGTTTATGAAGCATGTCTTTAGAGCCAAACTCTTTTTCAACTAACCCCACATAGCACAGCATATCTAGATGTAAGATCCAATCCTAAAATTTCATAATCAAGTTTTAATCAATTTGAAAATACTTGGGTAAAGCTTAAGACTGAGCAGTAGATGTTGCCAAGGGGGATATTTCATAGAGTAGAGGCAAAAGCTACAGTGGAATCCTGAGGTGCAGTGATAAACTCCCCGTGATATAGTACCTGGCCGCGGGGTGGGGGGCAGACGGGCGGGAGAGAAAGCTCCACTCGACCCTAAAAAAAGTTACCATAGTTACTCCTCCAATTTAGGCAGGAGACAACATCAAACACAAGATGAGAAGATAAAACTCTTGATGTGACTTTTCTCTTCTGATCCTTTACTTGGCCTGCCTATTTTTTAAATTAATTTGCAGAATGTGATACCAACGCTTGTAATTCTATTGGGAAACAAAACTCGAGTACCTAATACATGAGGACAAAAACTATACATAATTTTATACATATACACAGATGCATCCCTTCTTTGATTTAGTTTTTCAATAATATCTAAACAAGTGGTTTTAAAATAGGAAAGAAAAATATGAGTTTAGAACTTAAAATCTAATCTGCACATAACACACTGTAATGTAAAGTAGTCATCAGACACTTCTAAAACCTTGTTAATATAACTTCCTTTAAAAAGCTTATACTTCTGTGATGGATGGTATTATTTAATGGTATGCAGAATAAAATAAGCATGTACTCTTAATTCTGGTAAAACCTTTTGAACTGGAATTTACAATCAAGGAAGAGATGTACCATCATCCCTGTGGAATAAATACTTTTTTCAAAGACTACAAAAGTACTTCATATGCAAAGGTAACTCTCTACAGAATGGTAATGAGCAATCCAGGATCTTCAGTTGCAGTTAAGGGTTGATCATAATTCTAAAAACTGAGGAATTCGTGCAATTATAAATATTTAAGGTACTTCCACCATTTTCATTAAAAAAAAGTTATTACCTGTCTAAATGTGGCACATCTATGTCAATCTAAAGATCATCAACCTGTATATATGAAGTGGGAGAAAAACATTCTTACATGCCTATCACCTAAAAATGCAAAGAACAAGTGAGATATCTGAAACCATGTGATCTAGGCCTAATAACTCTAATCTTTTCTTCGGAAAATAAATGAAAATAAAATGGAAAAACAGGAGGAACTGTCTGACGTAACATCACCCTATCCTGTCACTAACCTTGAGGGCTCGGCATGATTGGAGTACCGGGACCAGGGGGACCTGCAGAGCCTGGTGGACCCTGGGAAACAGAGACAGACGGGTGCATTAAGGCCATGTGCTCATTCATAGCTTTTCTACAACACAGTTTACTGTTATGACTCATATGAAATTTTAAAAAAAGTGTTGCAGAATAATGATGAGGATCAAAATGCAAAAAATCAATAGAAACATAAATTCCTGCACTCAGTGAGTAGAAAGGGATATGAATATTTCAGTGATGGAAAAGTTTCATATTCCTCAAATAATTTCCATTTTCTTAAAAAAAAAACTTCTTGTGAATAAAGTTAAGATATGTAAAACACTCCAATCAATACTAACCATCATTCCACCATAAGTTCCTGGTGAGGACGAAGAGTAACTCATTGGCTGCAAGACAAAAAATATTTTAAATTCACAGGAAATAATTACAAACAGTATACAAAGAGAAGTTTTTTTTTTTAAACATTATCTACTCACAAGAAAAGATCTCTCTTTCAGTAATCTTTCATTTTGCAATACTAATCTAAAATGGCCATCAAATATTATGAATAAAGTATTTCATAAATCACAGATATAAACATGTACCCAAACATAGAAACACACACACACACACACACACACACACATAAATACTGAAACGCATGCATGGACACACACTCAGTACAATCTGCACCATCTTTCCCTTCTTTCTTTCTCTCTAAAAACTGCATCAAAGGTACTAACAGTTGATGTGTTAGGTGTCCATGGTTGTCTAGGCCCAGGTCCACCCATGCTCATAGGTGGCATGCCTGGGCCTGGGCCCCCAGGTCCTGGCCCTCCTGGCCCTCCTGGACCCATACTGTTAGGTGGAGGTCCCCTCATGCCTGGTCCATAGCCTCCTGGACCCATGGGAGCCATGCCTGGACCCATTGCTGGGCCTCGAGGTCCAGCCATCCTTGGGTTCATCCCGGGAGGAC